GATATGAAATAAATAAAGATAAATTATCTAGATATATAATATATAAATAATTTTTCGGAAAACAATAGAGGAGTATCTTTTATAAAAATGAGTGAAAACATCTAAGAACTATAGTCAATTATTGAAACATAGACGGAGCAGATTAATTAACTATTAGCCAGAGAGTAGGAGCTTCTAAGTTTAGAGCAGGAACAAATCTCAAATCTTGAAGTGAAAACTTAAAAAATTATAGGCCTCGGCTACACTGAAGATAGAATAAAATATTGGACCGATCATCAAGAAACAATCAAAGCACTGCAAAAGGAATTAGTGGATGTTACTTTTGGATATTCTGCTAGAGGAGCTATTGCACCAGATGTTAAAGCTAGCATTATTGGAGAATTCAATGACTGGAAGCCTGAACCTATGACAAGAATTTCAAACAACATCTTTATTTATAAAACAAAAGTCCTTGGCGGTTATTTGCACAAGTTTAGAACAGTTCTTTCAAGCTAACCTGATTAGTTAATTGATTATACTCAATCTTTGAGTCCTGCCCAATTTGCTGGTGAGATGTCCTCTAATTTAAAGGAATCATTTGATTCTAAATTATTTTGTCTAAATGTTTTAGATCGAGAGTTGCTCCTATCTATGCTGTATATGAGTCCTATAACCAAGGAAAAATTACAATCAGAATTCTAAATTAACAAAGCGTAATTTGATGAACTGGAAACCGGAGTTTCAGAACTTGATCATAATCTAGTTAACTAGTTACAAACACTTGATGAGCCAACAATCAGAAACCTACTACAATAATCTCTAGGGCTGAATAAAATTTTATCTACTTAACTCTAATTTTTGAAATAATGTGGAGAGTCTGCTGGCGCATTACAAGAAAAGCTATTAGTTAACCAGACTGCTGAGTTAATAAGCAGCACCACATAAAAAATGGACCAAATTAGTGATGTAATTAAGCAAATAGTTGCAGGAAGATTCATACGTAATAAGGATAATAATAATAACAATTACTTTATGATATAAGGTTATAATGAAGCCAATAATAAAATTCACATAATAAGGACTTTTGACCCAAATGGAATTTTAATTACAGATAAATACAGCTAAAGCTGCTAACAATTGGATGAAGCTACTTTCACATCATAGTATTAAATGCTTACTCCTGAGGAATAAAAAGTTTTCGTAAATGACATGTTATCAAATAGCAGTCATGTTCTGAATCTAAAATATTAAAGAGCTGAAGTAGATGGATAGAAAAAATATGAACTTGTTGAGATACATCCATCAGGAATAAATTTAAATGATTATTAGGTTATGCATAATAGTTAAGGATTGCCAAGTTATGTATTACATAGCTCCGCAGGAGAGATAAAATGCAGAATCACAGAATCTGGTAAAGAGTTTAGTTATGATAAGAATCAATATATTACGATTTATACTTCTGAGCACTCACCAACTTCTCTCAATATCTTTCATATCCACTTAATTGATGAAAGCGAGGATTAATAAATATTGCAAGCTTGCTATATTAGAGATGATTAATCCATCTCTGATTTCTAAACATTTGAACAGGATTAAAATGGACAAGTTCCCAGATATAAAGTAATTATTTAAGCCTAAAAGGTTCAAGCAATTCTCTATAATGGTTAAAATGGAGTTGAAAATTTAAACTTTTGTGAAGATAGATTTGATCAGAACTCTTAAAATTAAATTAATTCTTATGACATTCATGCTCTATCTCAACAATAGGTTATCTGTAAGATAGCAAAGATACCCCTAGGATTAATTGCAATTCAAGATCAGCCAAACTAATTAATTAATGAAGATCCACTTTTTAGACTTAGCAGCTTTTGTCGTGAAAGATTTCATTTTGATTAATGGCCAGGCTATATTGACATCAATGTTAAATCACTTAATGAAAATAAGAGCTTGTTACTAAATGATATTAAACTAGCAGTGCCAGTTTGTGCTTTAAAACTTGTTGGCTTTGATGCATAAGAAAATTTAAAAAAATTAATGCAGAAAAATCAATAATGATCTACTCCTTATTTTCTCGAAAGCATGATATTCGATAAAATTCTGATGTTAAGTTGACAACTAAGTTTCATGATACTCGTGAATGGAATTAATAATTTATTTTTTCTTTAATTTTAATTTACTGATTTTCTTGAATAGAATTTTGCTTTCTGGGGTTTTGGGGTTTTGGGGTTTTGGGGTTTTGGGG